GGTGGAGACAGAGGGTGGAGACAGAGGGTGGAGACAGAGGGTTATGAGCAGCTGAAGAACTGACTCTGTTTTTGGTGAAGAGCAGGTCGATGGTGGCGTCAGCGATGATGTTCATCCGGAGCTCGAAGGCCTGGATCTGTCTGGGTGACCCGGGCTGAGAGACCTGGGTCACTGTCATGGGCTGGTAGTCAGCTGGAATGAAGAACTTCCACAGACAGTCCCTGAGAACAGGAGAACAGGACCAGGAACCAGGGTTGATGGAACGTCAGGAGAACAAGGTCAGTATTCAGCTCTACAGCTGCTACTACTACAAGTACTGGATAATACTTCCAACTTACTATTGTCCTACTGTGTCCTACTGTGTCCTACTGTGTCCTTCTGTGTCCTACTGTGTACTACTGTGTACTTCTGTGTACTTCTGTGTACTACTGTGTCCTACTGTGTCCTACTGTGTACTTCTCTGTCCTACTGTGTCCTACTGTGTCCTACTGTGTACTTCTCTGTCCTACTGTGTCCTACTGTGTACTTCTGTGTACTTCTGTGTACTTCTGTGTACTACTGTGTCCTACTGTGTACTTCTGTGTACTTCTGTGTACTACTGTGTCCTACTGTGTCCCACTGTGTACTTCTGTGTACTACTGTGTCCTACTGTGTACTACTGTGTACTTCTGTGTACTTCTGTGTACTACTGTGTCCTACTGTGTACTTCTGTGTCCTTCTGTGTCCTACTGTGTCCTACTGTGTACTACTGTGTCCTTCTGTGTCCTTCTGTGTCCTACTGTGTACTTCTGTGTACTACTGTGTCCTACTGTGTCCCACTGTGTACTTCTGTGTACTACTGTGTACTACTGTGTACTACTGTGTCCTACTGTGTCCCACTGTGTACTTCTGTGTACTACTGTGTACTTCTGTGTACTTCTGTGTACTACTGTGTACTACTGTGTACTACTGTGTACTACTGTGTCCTACTGTGTACTTCTTTGTACTTCTGTGTACTACTGTCTACTTCTGTGTACTTCTGTGTCCTACTGTGTACTACTGTGTACTTCTGTGTACTTCTGTGTACTACTGTGTACTTCTGTGTCCTACTGTGTCCTACTGTGTACTTCTGTGTCCCACTGTGTACTACTGTGTCCTACTGTGTCCTACTGTCTCCTACTGTGTACTTCTGTGTCCTACTGTGTCCTACTGTGTACTTCTCTGTCCTACTGTGTCCTACTGTGTCCTACTGTGTACTTCTGTGTCCCACTGTGTACTACTGTGTCCTACTGTGTCCCACTGTGTACTTCTGTGTACTACTGTGTACTACTGTGTCCTACTGTGTACTACTGTGTCCTTCTGTGTCCTACTGTGTACTTCTGTGTACTACTGTGTCCTACTGTGTCCCACTGTGTACTTCTGTGTACTACTGTGTCCTACTGTGTACTTCTGTGTACTTCTGTGTACTACTGTGTCCTACTGTGTACTACTGTGTCCTTCTGTGTCCTACTGTGTACTACTGTGTCCTACTGTGTACTTCTTTGTACTTCTGTGTACTACTGTCTACTTCTGTGTACTTCTGTGTCCTACTGTGTCCTACTGTGTACTTCTGTGTCCCACTGTGTACTTCTGTGTCCCACTGTGTACTTCTGTGTCCCACTGTGTACTACTGTGTCCTACTGTGTACTTCTTTGTACTTCTGTGTACTACTGTCTACTTCTGTGTACTTCTGTGTCCTACTGTGTCCTACTGTGTACTTCTCTGTCCTACTGTGTCCTACTGTGTACTTCTCTGTCCTACTGTGTCCTACTGTGTACTTCTCTGTCCTACTGTGTCCTACTGTGTACTTCTCTGTCCTACTGTGTCCTACTGTGTACTTCTCTGTCCTACTGTGTCCTACTGTGTACTTCTCTGTCCTACTGTGTCCTACTGTGTCCTACTGTGTCCTACTGTGTCCTTCTGTGTCCTACTGTGTACTACTGTGTCCTTCTGTGTCCTACTGTGTACTACTGTGTCCTTCTGTGTCCTACTGTGTACTACTGTGTCCTTCTGTGTCCTACTGTGTACTTCTGTGTCCCACTGTGTACTACTGTGTCCTACTGTGTCCTACTGTGTCCTTCTGTGTCCTACTGTGTCCTACTGTGTCCTTCTGTGTCCTACTGTGTACTTCTGTGTACTACTGTGTACTTCTGTGTACTTCTGTGTACTTCTGTGTACTTCTGTGTACTACTGTGTACTTCTGTGTCCTACTGTGTACTTCTGTGTACTTCTGTGTCCTACTGTGTACTTCTGTGTCCTTCTGTGTCCTACTGTGTCCTACTGTGTACTACTGTGTACTTCTGTGTCCTACTGTGTACTTCTGTGTACTGAAGGAGTCTAAGATAAAACTCTGAAACACCTTAGTGTACCACAAATTCCACGTACTGTCTATATTTTACTACATGGTGCAGCGTGTACCATGTACCTCCACAGACAGAGGTCGTGGTTTCTAACCCTGTCTTCTGATTGGTCGGTGGTCACACCCACCTCTGTCGATCGGCCCACGGTCCGTAGTTGAAGTCCGTTCCTTTCCCACAGACGATATCCAGGCCCCAACATGGGGGCAGGTCCTGCAGTTGGTCCTCCTCAGTGCACGTCTCAGCCCCCCCCACACTGTCCTGCTCCACAGGGACCAGACCTGGACAAGTACACAGGAATACACCAAATACCAGTGGTATCACAGTACACAGCACAGACAGAGTCAGAGTTTCTGAAGAAAAGTTGTTGTTTTTTCTATTTTAATTCAGGACAGTGTGTGTGTGTGTGTGTGTGTGTGTGTGTGTGTGTGTGTGTGTGTGTGTACCTGGTTCATCCTGGTAGTAATAGATGTCCACATCATTGGACTGCAGGACCACAAAGCCCTCTCCCATCAGTCGGGGGGGTCTGGAGACAAAACATGAGGCTTTCAAACAACTGGTCCCAGGAGTGCCCTCTTCTGGCAGGTGTTGGAATCTTTATGACCCCCATGGTTTACAGTGAGGACTGGTGTGGACCCCCCCGTCCCCCTATGGTTTACAGTGAGGACTGGTGTGGACCCCCCCCCGTCCCTCCATGGTTTACCGTGAGGGCTCCCCCCCCCGTCCCCCCATGGTTTACAGTGTGGACATACTCATCGTTCTGCAGTCCCAGGTAGCGTGGACTAGGGACCAACATGACTCTGACGTTTTCCAGTGACCCTTTGACAATGTGCATGAACTGGTCCAGGTGGCTGGACGGAGGTTTGGTGGCGTACGTCAGGAAGGCGTCCTCAAAGTTGACACACAGCGTTTGTGGGAGGTGGTGGTTCCCAAAAGCCAAACGACCCTGAGAGAAGAGAAGCAGGACATGAAAGGAAACTGATCAATGAACTGATGAACAATGAACTAAGTCATTGATCAGGCTTCAGTCCTGGACTGTTCTTCCAGTGAAGTCCAGTGAAGTCCAGTGAAGTCCAGTGAAGTCCAGATCATTAGTGGGAGGAGGGACTCACTGTGCTGATGTTGACTTTGATGACAGGGATGAGGGAGCGCCAGGAGGACGTGGGGTCTTGACCTTCGGCCTTGATGTTGACACTGCACATGGAGCAGAGGATTTCAGTCTGATCACAAACACCTGGTCAGAGTCTGAGGTGGTTTCAGATTATAATCCTGAGATCCGAGCACACAGTGGATCAACGGAACCATTTGATTGGTCAACAGTTGTCATTCAGCTCACCACCAGCAGGGTTAAGTACACCACCGCTGCTGAGGCCGTCGTTACCTTTCCAGCCTCTTGGTCCTGTCTCCTTGTCCACTTTCCTCATCACTCCTGGGTGTTATTAGTGTTGGTTCAAGTCCAAACGTCTCCTGCAGGTGGGAGTAGAGGGCGGTGCGGTTGTAGACGTGGAGCTCAAAGCCGTTAACTGTCACATACAGCCTGGTCTCGGCCTTGGGGTCTGAGAAAAGACAGGAGAGCAGATCCCTGAGTAACGGTCTGAGAAAAGACAGGAGAGCAGATCTCTGAGTAACCTTCATCATCATCACCATCATCATCATCATCATCATCATCATCATCATCATCATCATCATCATCATCTGCTCTCCTCACCATGCTGCTTCTGTTTTGGGTTGTACTTTTTCCACCAACGAAAGATAAGGAAACCGTCCTGTATCCTGGACGGGGAGAACATTTAGTGAAGTGTTTGTCAGAGGGACAGACCACAGCAGAGCTACTGGGTTAACTGGGTTAACTGGGTTAACTGGGTTAACTGGGTTACCTGATGGACATGTCCTGGTTAATGAAGTAGACGTCTCTGAACATGACTTTTCCTGACAGCACGGAGAAGGAGAAGGAACCTGTGGGAAATCATTTAAAAACACAATAAAATATAGATATGAATCACAAATCAAAACAGGTGGCTGCTGAGAACTGGCCTTCTGTTCCAGCTACATACATTTGACAAAACAGTTTTCCAGTCATGTCAAGACTGACAGCTAACCTGTGATCAATCAGATAAAAAGCTGTCAGCTGTAAATGTGACCTTTTTAGTTTGGCTATTCTGACAATGAGCAGGTTGATTTTGGTTTGACCCCCCCAAACCAGCTGTGACCCCCCCGACCAACTGTGACCCCCCCGCCCAGCTGTGACCCCCCGACCAGCTGTGACCCCCCC